ACTTTTGTTTCTCTTTTTTTTTCTTCTTTTTACATTTTTTATTTCCTTTTCATTAATTTAGTCATTTCTTTCATTTTTTTTTTTTTTTTTTTGTAATTTTAATAGCAAAAATAAACAAAAAAACAAAGTAATAATCATAAAAATGAAAAACTGATATTTGATATAAACTAAAGAAAATACAAAAATTACTTCCGGGTTTGATAAGAGTTTTACACGAAGTGCTCCGCTCATTGCTAACAAACAAACATTTAGCATTGTGTTTGCAAACATTTCAACAACAATGAATCAATCGGTGGGTACGTACCATTCATCCATTCATCTTTCTTAAAATCTCATTATTTATCCTAAATTGATGATCGGATGCTAAATTCAATGCTATCAGTTATCTCTGATCCTTATTTTATAACCTTTTTTGTTTTACAGTTATTATTTTACTTAGCAAATTACAAATAATTAGCCTAGTATTATTCATTTTAATCCATGCAAATTAATCTAGTGCTACAAAAATTAGTCCAATGTCAATAGCCTAATTTGTTATTTTATAATTTTACAATAATCATTTTACTTAGCAAATTACAAATTAATTAACCTAGTATTATTCAATTTTAATTCCAGTGCTACAAAATTAGCCTAGCATTATCATTTTAATTCTAGTGCTACAAAATTAGCCTAGTATTAATCATTTTAATTGCAGTGCTATAAAATTAGCCCAATGTAAACAGTCTAACTTGTTAATTCATAATTTTACAATGATCATTGACTTAGCAAATTACATATAATTAGCTAATTAGTATTATTCATTTTAATTCACAAATCATCCAGTGTTACAAAATTAGCCTAGCATTTATGATTTGAATTCTCGTGCTACAAAATTAGCCTAGTATTTATGATTTGAATTCTCGTGCTACAAAATTAGCCTAGTATTTATGATTTGAATTCTCGTGCTACAAAATTAGCCTAGTATTTATGATTTGAATTCTCGTGCTACAAAATTAGCCTAGTATTTATGATTTGAATTCTCGTGCTACAAAATTAGCCTAGTATTTATGATTTGAATTCTCGTGCTACAAAATTAGCCTAGTATTTATGATTTGAATTCTCGTGCTACAAAATTAGCCTAGTATTTATGATTTGAATTCTCGTGCTACAAAATTAGCCTAGTATTTATGATTTGAATTCTCGTGCTACAAAATTAGCCCGGTGTTAACAACCTAATTTGTTAATTTTAATTCATCATTTTATTTGCGTATACAATAATTAGCCTAGTGCTATAATTCTACAATTTCATAATCATAACTTGTTTATTATTTTTTTCCGTATAAAAATGGAAAATATCATTTAAATTGTCATGATAATAGTATTATTTCCAAAAAAAAAGAGAGAGAAAAAAATTTTGTTTTTTTTTGTTTTGTTTTTTCTAAAAAAAAAAAAAAAGAAATAACAATAATTTTCTAAAAATGAGTTATAGGAAATTATTATTATTCCTTTCTTCTTTTTTTGAATGAAAATTTTTGGTACATTAATTTTAATCAAATTTGTTTCCCTATTCTTCTATCTAAATTATCACAGTGATAAATGATAATACTTGAATGAAATTGAATAAATAATAATTATGTGTTGATATTAATTACACCCTTTTATAAATACTTTCTTTTTAAATTCAATAACAAATCTTTTAAATTATATAAATTTTCATCCGTATCACATATTTATTGTTGATAATTGATAATAACAATAATAATAATATTGATAATAAAAAAAATAATAATAAAAAATTTTCACCATAGTTTAAAAATAATTTCAAGCAAAACGTGATGTTTACATAAATGATATATAAATTTAGCAAAAAAAAAAAAAAAAATTTTAAGTATAACTTAAAATTTTGTTTGTAATACAAAATGTATGTAACAATATTTAAATGTAAATGAAAAGAGAACATTTGTAAAAGTTTTTAGAAAAAAGTAATAAAACAAAGTGCTATTTACTCTTTCTCTTTTTAAAAAAAAAAAAAAAAACGAAAAAACGAAAAAAACACTTTAACACTTTTTCATCTTTATTATTTACAATTTTTTTTTTTTTTTTAATTTTTTATATCATAGAGACGATTTAGAAGAAAAAGTTTACTTAATACGTTATTGTCTTAATAATACTAATATTTCTGAAATAAACTAAAAAGAAAATTTATTAATAATATTTCTCATCAATTTTTTCATCTTCAAAATACATTTAGAAAAAATTTATCCTTATTTTTTAAAAAATATAACAAAATGCAAAAATTTAACTTTCAATCATATTGTTTTGAGATTGCATAAATTTGCTTTCAATTCATTCATTTTAAATTCAACAAACAACTCTAATGGAAAATAAGTAAATAAATAATTTGATTAATTATTTGAATAAATATCACAAAATTCAAAACTGATATAAAAACTGACTTTGCAAAAATTCAAAATTTAAAAAAAGCAAATATTTTTATTTTAGATCTAAATTCAAAGCATTTTTTTTTCTATTTCGTAGTTTATTACTGATTTTTTGAGTTTCTTTTTTTGTTCGAAAAATCTTTAAATTTGATAATATATCCATTGCCTTAAGTGTAAATTTCAAATCTCATAGAATTTTTTAAATTATGGAATTAATTTTTTTTCAGTTGTAAAATCTAGGATATATTTCTATTGATAAACTTTTTTTTTTTTTTTGTTAATTTAATCTGTGATATTATTTATAAATGTTACTTAGCATCAAAATGATAGATGAAATATTAGAAAGTAATTGAAATTATAAAAGTTATTAATTAAAAAATATATCGAAATATCACAATTAACCTAATTTATTCGTCCATTTTCATTTTTACTAAATTTCAATAAAATTAATTTTCATAATATATCCAACATTTTTGAACGATATTTTATCCTACAAATTTGACGATTTTTTATTGTATAAGACATATCCAATATTTTGAAAAAATTTTCCTAATTATCAATATTTTAAAGATAAAATAAATATTTTGAATTTAAAAAATTTTGTGTATATTTTAAAATTTAAAACGGATATATTTTTACTCATACATTTTAAAATAAATTTTAAAATTTCATACATCCTTTAATTTACATTTTTTTTTTCTATTAGTTAGTCATATTTTAATCATTAGTATATACTATTTATATTAAAAAATTGCAAAATTATACTTTAAATTAACTAAAATGAAGAAAATTCATTGATGAAATGAATCTTTTCAAATAAGTTTTCCATTTAAATTTTTATGATATTTTTTTATAAAATAAAAAAAAGAGGGAAAGAGAGAGAGAGAGAGAAAATGGGAGATAAAAAAGGGAAAAAGAAAAAATATATTATATAAATATTTATTGTAATATTAAAATGAAAATATTATTAGTAAGCGCTATTTTCTTTTTTTTTTAACTTTCAAATTAGTTCCAATGAAAAGCTTTTTGGGTATTAAAAATTTTTTAATGTAAAATGAAAAAGTGAAGGTGAAAATTGTTACGGAAAAAGGTAAGGTAAGAGATGATGTGAGATAGATGAAAGGGTAAAAGCTGAATGGCAGTGACAGGACCGCCACAGCCTAGCACGCGCGCATTTATCCTTCGTCCCTCTTCTAGGACTACATGTTATCATTGATTCATTCATACCATACCTTTTCTTCCTATTTCGATTTAATTTTTTCGTTTCAATTCATTCAAACATTAAATTATAGAAGAGAGAGAGAGAGGGAGAAGAGGGTAAAGGGTGAGAGAGAGAGAGAGAGAGAGAGAAAAAACCCACAAATTTATTTGATATATCAACTAAATTATTTGATAATCATTTTTTTTTCTTTCTTCATTTTTATTCTTTTCATTTTTTGTTTACTTATATACATACTTACTTTTTCACATTGATAAATTTATAAATTAAAATTTTAGTGCATTCTGATATTTCAGTAATAATTTTAAAAATATTTGTATTTTGCTTAATTGATCAATTATTAATCGATTGACAAAAAAAAACTAAATGTGATGAAATTTAATCGATGATAAAATGTTGTTTGTTTATAATTTATTTAAAATGTGAATAAAAATTTTTCAATGCTACAATTATTATTTCTACAGCAATTAACTATTTTTTATGATTGAATAAATAAATTAATTATTTTTTTTCAATTCTGATTAAGTACATGAAATTTATAAAATACATTATTTAATTATTTATTGTATGTAAAAATTTTTTTCCTCTTTTTTTTTCTGCAATTCATCTAATAATAATAATAACTTTTACATTTTATGAATTTATTTCCCTTATTTTTGTTATTTTTTGTCATTTTTTAAATTTTCATTAATAATTAAAATACTTATTAATAGTAAGTGAATTGGATAAAAAAAAAAAAAGTATATTTCATAGCTTTTATCAATCTAAATTTGTAGTTCAATAGCGCCAAATACGATTATATGAGTAATAATTAATAAAATGATCAATAAATTTAGTGAGGCAAAAATGTAAAATAATTAAAATGAAAAGAAATAATTTTTTTTTTTTTGAATTTTATTTTCTGCAATTTTTATTTTTTACAAAACGTTTCATTTATGAGAAATTCAATCATTAATTCATATTTTATCGTATAAAAAAAGAAAGAAAAAAATGGGAAATAAAAACTCATAATTGAAAATAATAGTTATTATAAAATTTAATAAAAAAAAAAATAATTTTTATTAATTTCCATTTAAAATAATTGAAAATGTTAATTTTAATTTTCCCATTTTATTTCTTGTCAAAATTTTTTTTTTTTTTTGAATAATTCAAACTTTTTATTTTCAGCAACTGTTCTTTTCTTTCTTTTTTTCTTTTTTTTTTCAAAATTATTTAATTTAAATTTTTTTTCAGGTTTATTAAGCTAATAATGATATCATTCTAGCAAAAGAAAATAAGAAAAAGAGGACAAAGAAGAAGAAAAAATAAAAAGAGAAAAAAATAAAACTAAAAAACTAAAAAAAAAAAAACGAAGGAAAGAAATGGATGATAATAATGATCAAATGATGCATTCAACTGATACTGAATTACTTAGTTCAGAAGAGGAATTTGAATATTCAACAAATCAACAATCAACAATTTCATTTTCTGCTATATCTAATTTATTCCTAAATTCATGCTATTACTACTATGATTTATTCATGCAACAGCTTATCACACAATCATTATCAAATCAGCTATCACTACAACATCTAACTGCAATACCACTATTACAGCTAGCTGAAATTGAGCAATTAATTAATTCGCAATTAATTAGATCAGAATATTCACAGCTAATTACATCATCACAATTTATAAGAGAATTATTAAATTCTACATTATGGGATCAATGGTTATGCATATTAGCTAAATTATTAACACCAAATCAATGGCAATTGTATTGGATGAATTATTTGATGCAATTTGGTACAGTTGGCTTACCGCAACATTTAATTAACTTTTTTGCAACTGCCACTTCAACTGCAAATTTAAATTTCACATCTAATTCAGTACTAGCATTACAAATGATGAAAGAAGCTAATTGGATGCATTTACAACAACAATTTTATGGTATGTACGTTTTGTTGTTTACTTTATTTTTTTTAACTACTTATTTTTGTTTTTTTGTTTATTTTTTTTTATCGATTTTTGTTTTTTTGTTTGCTTTTTTTATCGATTTTTGTTTTTTTGTTTACTTTTCTTTTATCGATTTTTGTTTTATTTCTTTGCTTTAAAATTTACTGAACTTTTTTGAAATTTTTTGAAAATATAATATAATATATTTTAATTTTACCAATTAAAAAAATTTTTTTTCCTTTTTTTGGAAAAATTTTGAAGATTTAGTAAGATAATATAATGATATATATAGTTTTAAATTTAATATATTTTTTTAGTATTTTATTTTTTTAAAATTTTGGTATAAATTTTAGTATTTTAAATTCAATTATTACAATTAAAAACATTTTTTTTGAAAAAATGTATATTTTAATTTTGCTACAATTAAAAGAAAATATGGGTAAACTTAAATTATTAATGATAGAAAAACAAAAAAAAAGCAAAAAAAAAAAAGAGTTTTAGTAGTTAATGAAAATGGCGAAAATTTTTTTATGCAAATTTTAAATTTAATTTGAATTAAATTAAAATTTTCTCTCGAATTACATTAATTAATATTATACTAATTATGCTTTATTTTTTTTTCTATAATTTAATATCAAAAATGTTTTTTTTTTTTTATTACTATCATGGAAATACTAAAAATTTTTCAAAATTTTCAACAAATATGTTTATCAATCAGATTAACATTTTATTTTTTAAAAAGAAAAAAAAAAGAGAGAGAGAATAGATTTTTCACTGTACTTTAAGCCATTATTTATTTCTCACCTGCCAGAAATAAATTATTTCGTTTAAAAAGTAGCTTTATGTGGTTTTTTTTTATTTTTATTTTTACAATCAATGTTAGCTATTAATAATAAATGATATCCTTTTCTCTTTTTTTTTTTCGAAAAAAACTTTTTCTTATTTTTTCTTTCTTATTTGAAAGCATTTTTAGATGAAATCGAATATTATATGATTAAATAAGAAAGAAAAAAGTGAAAAAAAAGGCAGATTGTTAGAATAATTTGGATATTAAATTGTATATTTAATGAGTATTAACACCTAAATAATCACCTAAAATTTAATTTAAGTATTAGAATAATGTGAAATTTAAATGTATAATAATTTACGATATATCCATTTTTCAATTTCAACATCAATATTACATATTACAAAATTTTCCTAAAATTTTAAAAATAATGTTTGTAAAATTTTTTTCATTATTTTATTTAAGTCATTTATTTACTTATTTATAGTTTATTATTTAGCATTTGATTGGTTTATTATAATTTTCTTAACAAACATTTCAACTTTATACTTTTTCCTTACTTCTTTGCTTTTTTTTACTTTTTGTTTTCTCTCTTTGTCTTTTTCATTTAAATAAGAAAGCTAATTTGCCATTTTTTTTTCTTTTTAAAAAGTAAGTTTTTTTTGTCGAGATTACAAATTTTTCGTTTTTTTTTTGTCGAGATTACAATTTTTTAAAAAAATTTTTTTTTGATTATTTCAACTTCTTTTTTCTTTTTTTTATCTTTGCTTTTTCTTTCAGCAGCTATTTTAGCTAACATCAAAAACTTTGTTTTTCTTTAAATAAAACTTAGCAATTAATTATAAATATGTATATTAAAGTATAGTTTGAAGCAAAGCATACATATATCAAAAATATTGAAAAAGCAATAATATTTTCCAATATAATAATATAGATTTGTTGACGTCAAACATCTATAAATTTGCATAAAATTTGATTATTTCAACATTATTAATGCTTTTGCAATTACCATTAAAATTTATTATATTTCTTTCTTCTTTGAGCTATAATCGATTATTTATCACTTATAACTCACTTTTAATCTTTTCTCAGCAAAAATTTTTATAACTTTTCAAATTATTTTATTTCTTTCTTTTTTTCTTTTATATGATAATTTGGAAATATATTTTTTACTATTTATCACATATATTTATCAAAAACAACACAAAATTTAACACATCATATATGTGATAAACAAAAAAATCTTTTTTTTTTAATATTTATATCAAAAAATTCTATCAGAATTAAGATTTAATTAAAAGTATTATTTAAATAACATTTAAATATACTTACTTACTTACCTATGCTATGTACTCATCCACCTGTAATATGCATTTGGCATAGATAAATGGTAATTATTGTTAAACTTTACTTTTCTTTTTTATTTTACTATGATAGATATGTTTAGACAATCATTGAAACATTAAAATGATAAATAAAATAAAATTTTATTTGTTTATATATGAAACAATAATTTTTCCTTTTCTTTTTTTAATTTTAAATTTAGTGAATTTTTTGTTGTAATAATTTAGCATTTTAACTATTATTACACAAATAATTGAAGAATCCATTAAAATTAATTCCAAAAAAAAAAGTTACAAATTTAATAAACATATTTTCTTAATATTATTTACATAAATTATCAATTTTATAATTTTGCATTTTCTCCAAACATTCATTTATTAATGATAAATGGTAGAAATAAAAAGTGTAAAATTTTATAAATTGAATAAATTAAATTAAAAGATGGATAAATTGAGCAAATTAAACATTTATTCTTATTTATATATTTTATAAACTAATCTTTTTTTTTTTGAAATAATCAATATTTGAAATAATTGATATGATAACAATATTTTTGATAGAATTGCAAAACAAAAAGGGAGAAATCTGCATGAATTTAATAATGTTTCATATGTTATCAGACGATTATCATTGAATAGTTTTATGATAACTTTTAAAATTGTCAACAAAATCTCTCATGTGATTTTATTTATTCATTTATTTCTTCCTTTTTTTTTATTTTTTTTTTCTGAAACATTTTTTTTTTAAATTAAATTTTTAACAAATTTATTTCATTCTTTTTTTTTAGTATTTTTTTTTGTCTTCTTTTTATTTGACTTTTGGTGAGAAAACATTAGCAAAAATTTAATTCTATCCAATAAAACTGATATTTTTCAATTAATTAATTTCTTTATTTGTATGCAATTGAAGCTGTAAGGAAAGATGTAGAAAAAAAACGATCAAAATTTTAAATTTAATTAATGTAAATATATTGTTTGCTATTAATTTATTCAGTATTTTAATATTTGAATTAATTATTTTTCAGTAAAACAGTCAATTTTCATTTTCAATTTCCTCAAAATTAAAATTTTAATAGTATTTTTTTTTCAATATAGTAGTTTTCTCAGTTTTTTTTCTTAATATATATTGTATTTTTTTCAATTTCTTCAAAAATAAAATTTTAATAGTAATTTTTTTTAAAAAAATAAATGTACAATTTGCATATAATACTGTAATATATTTATATATTTAATTTTTAAATACTATTATAGATGAAAAACAAAATGAAAAGTATGTAAAGCATATATGATATATTATTATAATGATTGGTTTCATTTATATTTAATAATATATCATTTTTATTGCTTAATCAATAAATTTGTTTAAAAAAAAAGCAATTCAAACTGTAATTTAAATTTTAATTTGTTAATATATATAGATAGAATGTAATTGCATTAATATATATATATAATTTTATAATTGAAATCTCTTTTTTTTCTTTCTCGTTTTCTTTTTGCTTAAAAGATTATTTACATTTTTGAATGAATTTTTAATTAATTGTAAATTGCATTTTGACACGCAATAATATTGCATTGCATTGTTGATATTATTGATAATTCTTTGATAATTTATCATATCTTATCAATATTTCCTGTGGAAAATGAAATGAAATGCAGTATGGAAGTAAGTAATTTATAATAAATTGATTTAATTGCAAGTAAACAGGAAGAATGAGAAGAGAGAAATAGAAAATGCATGCAGTACTGCTAAATGATTGCATTTGTTGCATGCACAACAGGCCAATATATATGCTTGCAGCACTGTAACAAAAAATGCATTAATGATAATTGATATGATATCATTGAAAAAGAATAAAAAGGACAAAAACGAGAAAAAATCTTTGTAAGTTAAACAAAATAAAAAAAAAAAAATTATCAAAATTGCTTAATTTATTAGAATTTCAAAAAATTTTATTGAAGATGAAAAAGAAGAATAAATGTAAAAGATTTGATTTATTAGAATGATAATATAATTAATAAATATTTTTCTAACTTAATAATTTATTTCTAAACTTTTTTATTATTAAAGTTTTCTCAAATAAAATTAGTAAAGAAAATAAAACAATTAAGCAATAATGAGAGAGAAAAAAAATTTCGTTTTTTTTTAAAATATAACAACTTGTTACTTTTTCTTTTCAATTAGCTTATGCTATAATAATATTTCATTTCTTAAGCTTATAATTTATATGTTTTGTTGTGAAATAAATTTTACACAAACAATTTTATTAATCGACTATTTCAAATTTTTTTGCAAAACAAAAAAAAAAAAATTAGATTTAATTTTTATTACTTATGTAGCGAAAATGTTATTAAAAAATCATGAAAGCCCATCACGTATATACTTTATTAATATTTATAAATTTGCTTTCTATATATAAATTATGCTTCTACAATATTAATAAATAAATAATATTATTTATAAATATAATTTATATACTACATAATATTATTTATAAATGTAATTTTAGCAGATGCTTAGTAATAGTAATGGTAATAACAGCAATTATAACGATAGAAGTAGTAATGATAATAATAACGGTAATGATTATTGGTGATGATAACGTGATTCTTTAATAATAACTATTACTATCATTATTGTTGCTATTATTATTATTATTAATATCATTATTATGATCAATCTTATTTATATTATTATTACTATTATGTATTTTATCATCATCATCATTATTATCATCACTATTGTCATTGTTATTGCCATTATTATTATTGTTATTACTATTGCTATTATCATTATTATTGTCAATATTAAGTGGTCACATTCGTTAAACAACAATGATAGGAAGAGATACAATATTGTTTATGCATATGAAATTTTGGGTTCTATTTGGCATACATTATTAAATTTATACGAATGAATGAATGAATGAATTGAATTGAATAATTGAACTGAATTGAATAATTGAATTGAATTGAATGAATGAATGAATGAATGAGTGTTATCTTAAAGAAATACATATATATAAATATGTTTAGATATTTATATAAAATACATAAACACAAATATCTATTTCTGATATGTATATATATATATATATATATATGAACAACAAGCATATATAACTTAAGAATTGATGTTATGGCTAGAGATTCATCTCTTTCTCATCTTTCCTCTCTCTTTCCTGCTCTTTTTTCTCTTTCCCTCTCTCTCTCTCAGATAAAGCTAACTAAGCTAAACTGAAAGTGAGTATAAGTAAGTAAGTAAGTAAGTAAGTGAGTGAGGGAGTGAAGGAGTGAAGGAGTGAGGGAGTGAGTGACTAATTGATGATCGCCTTATCATCAAATCTAAGAAGTTGAGGGAATGAAAACACGAAGCTTTTTAAAATTTTGCTGCAGCATTTTCTTTACCGTTTTTTTTCCTTTTTTCTTTTCTTTTTTTTTCTTCCATTTTTCAATTTTTTTTTTTAAGATTTGAAAATTTAATATGCATAAGTAATATTTGAAATAAAGCATTTATGATTATTTCTTTCTTATTTCTTTCACAAACATTCAATAACATTTTAATCGCTATATGACTATATGATAAAAATTTTATACAGAAAAGTTTTTTTTTCCTTTTTCATAAATTTTTATCTGTAAAAAAAAAAAAAAACATTTATTATGTTAGTGATTAAATTATGAAAAATTTGATCTATTATTTTCAAATGTATTCTTGAAAATTTTTTGTCCTCTTTTATTATAATTAATTTTGTGAATTTATCACAGTTCAAAATAATCTAATTTACTATCACTTTCATTTGTTTGTCATTTTTTTATTGTTGATATGAATTCTATGCTAAATTTATCGTTGCATTTAAATTTATGAATTATTAAACAGAGTGATAAATTGATTTGTCTGTAATAAATAATTCTATTTGTGAGGAGAAATGATCAAAAAAAAAATGCTCTCTGTTTGTAATTATGAAGAAAAAGAAAATTTTTTTGTAAATTATATATTTCTTTTAATTTTACTTTTCTTTTCAAAAAAAAAAAAAAAGAAAGAAAAGACGCAAACTATATTTTTTTAAACTTTTTTTAAAATTTTTATTACATAATCATTTTGTTCAGTTCAAATTTGTTTCATATTAATAAATTATTTTAATATGTAATTACTTTTAAAGTTATTATTGCTAGAAATTTTCTTCATAATATTCGCAAAGTGTTATTTTTCTAATTTTTAATGTTTACGAATTTTTTTTTCAAAAATTTATTTATCGTATTATTTTATAATTTTATAATTTTTTTTTGTTTGATAATTTAGATCAGAAAGAAAAAAACGTTGTGGTTCAAATTTGGAAGAATTTTTTTATATTTAAAAGTGGAAGTGAAAACAAACAAACAAACAACCTGGAATACAATTATTTCAATTTATTATTTGTGGAAATTTCTATTCAACAGCACCTTTTTTCTTTTTCATTTTCTTTTTTCTGATAAAGATAACGGAATTGATTATACTAATTAAATTAATTCAAATATTTTTTCTGCTGAAATTACTCTGAACGGGTTATTCAATTCATTTATTTATTATTACTTCTTCGCTTTCCTTTTTTTTTATTTTTTTTTTGTATTGGTAACAGTCTTTCTGTTAATTTAATTCAAACTGAATTACTTTTAATTTATTTCAATAAGAAATTTATCTTACCTGAATTCAACACTGTAAATAAAAAATGGGTAACTCAGCAACAACTCAATCGAGGAGTTCAAAAACAACATGTCGTCGACTGAAACACCAAAATCATATAGGAAATGCTAATTATCATAAAGGTTAGTGATATTTTATGCTTAATTATTTAAACAATTAAATAAGTAAATATAAATTTGCATGTTATTAAACTTAAAATTTATTTGCTAAAATATTTTTGTTGTTTTCAAAAAAAAAAAAAATAAAAACTATCTGGTGATTTATACTTAAATATTATCAAAATATTTAATTCTTCTAGCTGATAAAAGAAGGTTGATAATTTTTTTTTTGTGTGTGATTTATTTAATCGTATACTTTAAAAGTATATACAAGAAAAAAAAACAAACTTTTCAATTAATTTAATAATTCAATAAAGCATTGTTTATTTACCTGTTAAATGTTATTGTTTGGTCTTTTTTTTTGTTGTTGTGTGTTTGTTTTTTGTATGCTTACATATTAATTTTATTGCACTATTAAAAAATTTTCTTTCAAAGGATTTTTTTAAGAAAAAAAAAAAATAAAACAAAAATAAAGAATTGAGAATCGAATTTTAAATGAAATATGAAAATTATTCATTGTATTTATTTTAAATTCAAATTTTTATACAATTTTATAATTTAATAACGTTTAAATTTTTAACACTAATTGTAAAATTTAATTTACTAGGTAAATAAATTTATAATTCGTTATTGAACCAGTAATAAATGATGTCTGCAAATTAAAACTAAGTGATAAAAAAAAAAAGAATTTAAGCAGTAAATTAAGTGGAAACAGTTGTGTTGCTAACAAATAACATCAATAATAGCATCGTCAATAAAAAAAAGTGTTGTAAAGCTGCGTTTGCAGATGCGTAGTAATTCTATGAAATGTAAATTCTAAGGAATTTATTTTTTTTTTGCTGAAAAAAAAATTTGAAACTAAATTTTTATTTTACAAAATAAAAAGTATTTCTAAAGTAGCAGAAATTTGTTTTTTAATTTTCATTTAAAAAAAAAAAAAAAAGAAAGCAAACTAAATAAAACACAAATTATAAACAATATTTGTTTATTTATTTTTTATTTTTAATCTTTATTAAATTATTACTAATATTTTTATTAATAATATTTGTTTTAAAATTTTAAAAATTACTAATATTTTTTTTTAAAATCATTTACTCTTTATCATAATAATTTCATATATTTGTTCATTTATATTTCTTTTTTTTCTTTTGCATCAAAAAATAAAAAAATAAAAAATTTATTTAATAAAAAAAAATTGAAACACAATTGGTATTATTATTATTGTATTTTATTACAAAATTAATGTAATTCAATTAGAAATTATGATTAAGAATAAAAATAATATTCTTTAGTATTAATTATCATTTAATTTGTTATATTTTTTTTTAAATATTTCTGTTTAAATAATAATTAAATTAGAAAATTTTTCTAAAACAAAATTAAAAGTTATACAATTATGTGAAAAAAAAAAAGAATATTTTCAAAGATTGTAAATTTTTAAGAAAAAACAAAACAAATAATTTTTTTTTTTAATTAAATAAAAATTAATAGCTAATAAATATTTTAATGTAATCAAATTATGGTATAATTTTAAAAGTTGCTAAAATTAAAATATAACTATCATATGATAAGAGAGAAGTGAAAAAAAAATAAAATAAACTAATAAAAGTTGAAAAATGTTTATTTTGCAACAAACAAAATGGTTAAATTCATATTGGAACAGTTGGTAAGGAAAAAATTTTTTGGTTTTAGAAACTTTTCACATATTATCAATCATCTTATCACAAATAACAAATCAATGATAAAAATTTTAATCTAATAAATGAAATAAATGTATAATTTTATATAAAAATAATAAAAGTACTATTCATTTTTTTTTTTTGCTACAATTTAATAAAATTAAATAATAAGTTTTAAATACAGTTAAATAATAATTTATTCGAAATAAAAAGTTAATGAGCAAAAGTTAAATGATTAATTTTATATTTCATTTAAAAAAAAAAATTTTTTTTACAACTTAATATAAGTAAATAATAAATCTTAAAATTAATTGATTAATGATTTATTAGAAAAGTACTCACTTAGTGGAATTTTAATGATAATTTTATTAATTTTCTATGAAAATTTTGTTTTTCCCTTTGCTGTTTCTGTTTTCTTTTTTTTTTTTATATTTTATTTAAATATTTTTGCAATATTTGAATAAATAAACAATTATTTATGATTATTTATCGGAAATTAATTTCATTTTATTTACTTTTTTTAGAAAAAATTCGAAATATTTTTCCCTTTTTTCATTCTTTCATTAATATTTTTTCTTTTTTCTTTTTTTTTTTTTAAAAAAAGTTTTCGTTTACTTTTTTTTCGACTATTTTCTTACTTACCCATCCATTTGGTTAATTTATGAACTTATCTAACCAGGAATGTAATCTGGTTTTCCTGGTTTTATTTTTTTGTGTTTCATTCGAACATTCTTTTTCCTTTTATTTTATTTTAATTTTTTTTTTTCTTTTTCTTTTTGTTCACCGTATGTTTTTCATTTTGTCCTATTAAAATAAATTTTGCTACATTGAAATATAATTTATCATTTTCAAATAATAATTTTAAATGAGAAAAGAAAGTTTAAATGAAAGTGAAGAAAAAAAGAAAAATGAAAAAAAAAATTATAAAAAGTAAAAAAAAATTAATATTATATTCTGAAAAAAAAAAATATCTTTTTTATTTTATTAATAATTATAAAATTTCATCAAAAATTAGAACATTTTTTTTTTGTAATTTTTTTTTAATGCATTTTTTTCTGTTTTTTTTTTTAATTTTAATATTTTTGAATAATTTATACTTATTAAATTAAATAAGCATTTATTCGATTATTACTTAACAATAATAAAAAATAAATAATATAAATATATATGTTTTAGATAATTATATGATAAATTTAAATCAAAATATACAACAATATCACTTCTATCATCATCTAATATATTTTAATTTATTTCATTTTAATTAATTCTTAATTTATTCATTTCATTTTAATTTATTTTTCAAAAAAAAGAGAAAAAGAAAATGAAAAGCAAACATTTCTCAAAAATCACAGCAATAGTATAAGAATTTAAATAAATTGAGAAAAAAAAATCATACTTATAGCACAAAAATTAAATAAATAACAAATCATTTTCACTTCTTTTCTCTCTCTCTCTCTCTCTCTCTCTCTCTTCTTCTTCCATTTTCCCATTTTTAATTTCCTCTATTTCCACTTTCTTTTTTTTAATTTCATAAATTAATTTCAAATTTTTTGTTTTTTAATTTTCCATACGAAAGTTACACCAAAAAAATATAATTCATTTCACTTTTGTTTTGTTTTTGGTTTTGTTTATTTGATATTTCTTTAATTTAAAATAAAAACAAAAATACAAAATAAAATCTTTAATTTAATTTTCTAAATTTTGCTTCTCTCTCTCTTTTTTTTAAATCATTTTATAAATTCAATTTTTTTTTTTTTAATAAAAATATGAATGAATGATAATAGAAAGTTTAAAAAAAGTGAAAAAACATTTATTTGTTAAATAATATCACATTTCCATTATTAAAAAAAAAAAACGAAATTTTTTTTTTATTTTCTTTACTTACTTTTTGTTTTAGCAAATGATTGAAATTTAAACAAAATGATAACAATGATAAGAATGATAAGCTGAATAAATATTTCTATACAATTATTTATTTTCATTTTATTTTAATTTTTTGTAATAAAAAATTTTTCTTTTTCTTTCATTGTTTTGCTTTTTTTTTCTTAATATTCTTTTCTGTTTACAATGTGTGATAATAATAATAATTATTATTACCTTTTATTTTTATTCCATCCAGTTTTTCCCTCTCTCTTTCTCTCTTTGTCCCTCTCTCTCCCTCTCTCTCTCTCTCTGTTTCTTCTATTAATGACTCTTTATTGCTTATTCTCCTCGTTATTTCATTTTTTTCAAAACTTGTTTTATAAATTATTATTATTTGATATGAATTTGTTGCATTAAGAAGGTAACAATTTATCGTTAATTTAATTTTTTATTTTATTTTTTTTTACTTTTCAGATTATTTTTACACTTTGTAAATAATTTAATTAATATATCTTTCTCAAAAAAATATATAGAGAAATAATTTTTTACTCAATTATTTATTCATTCATTAATTGTTAAATTATATTTTAATTGGTACTACATATTTCATTTATATATTTTAAATCAAATAATATGAAGTTGAACTAATTTGTTTCAAATATTTCAGATCAAAAAATAATTGAGCTAATTGAATCAAATTAGTTACTCAAATTATTTTCCAAAAGAAATAAATAAATAAAATAAATAATGCAATAAAATAACAAATAATTTTATTAAAAATGTGAAAAAAAAAAGTAAATGTATTTACATTTCATATTTTTTTTTAATTATATCAAATATTATTAATCATTTAGCAATGAATTATTTTATTTTTAATTAAAATTCATTTTTTTAAACTAAACTTTTAATTATATTTATATATAATATTTACATAGTCGTATATACAAATATGAAATTATTAAATTTCAATTTATTTATGCCATTCGCATCGCTTTTCTTGTGGAAAAAAAAGAAGGAAAATAATTGTTTATTGATTTAATTAAATTATTTATTTATTTATTTTAGCAAATCTCTCCCAGCAAAAAAAGTAATTTCTGTATTTTTACATCTGTAATATTTAAAATTATTCATTTACAATTTAGAATTAATTATCATTCATTAATTTTTCTTTTAATAATTTTTTTCTCTTTGTTAAAAATATCAAAGCAAATTTTTTCTTTTGCTTTTTTTAATTTTCAAACATTTACATTTATTTGTTTGTTTTTTTTTGTTTATTTTGCTATTTATTTATTATTTGCCTTTTTTTTATTCTTATTTTAAGTAAATAGATAGGATTCAAGTTAAAAAGTGCACAATTATTTTTTATTATAAGCAAATAAAACTATATTTAGTAGCAAAGAAAAAGAAATTTTAATATTTGAAATTATTCTCACAAAAAAAATTGGATAAAAATAAAACTAAAAAAGGAAAACAATTTTTAACAGTAA